TACAGCGCATAAATAAGGAGTAATTGTTACGCGATACGTATAACAATTTGAAAACTTTATTCAATGTGATGATTCAATAAATTATTTTTTGCACATGCTTTTTTATTCCTCATCTTAGCAGATAATTGGTAGAACATGATATAGGAGAATTGCTCGATCTCGAGCTTTAACCACGGGCTTCGGCTTCCGATAGCAGCGATCATGTAATTTTCATTATGTGGTGGTTATATCCTGCACGAGATGAATGGTCGGTACCGGAGATGAACAGATGATTCGATGCGAATGATAACGTTACTGTATCCACTTCTCGAAGACTTTTAAGTTTGCTATTGACCGGAAACAATGTTATCTTATTTTGTACTCTGCGTTATTATGGTCACTGATAAAATAAAATTACGGGATAAAATTCAACGAGGCAAGATTTCTTTTTTAGTGTATGTTTTCTCTGCCGGATGCTTCGGATCATTGAAAGAGCAGATATGTAATTTCTTTACCGAGAAAATAACGAAATATAAAAGCTTTAAAAGTGAAACTTTAAAAACGCTAAGGCGGATGGATGCTTCAGACAAACTCTTAACTTCTTTAATTTTAGGTATATATTATGCAGATTTATTTTTCGATCTTTAAATCTTTAGGTTCTTTTGTTACTTCTTAAGATTTCCAAGTCCTCTTTATTACTCCTCAAAGAAATTCGCGATGTAAAAGCTATATGATAAAAAGTCACGTTTATCAATAATATTGTTTCCGGGGCGCGCGGAACTGTCATACAAAGTAATAGCTTGCAGTAAAAGCCGCGGGGATTACGATGTAAGTTAACCGCGACTTATGTAACAAGCGTATAACTGAAACGACTGCTTATCGAGTAAAGAGGGAGACAATGAGCCGTTAAGCTTCGTTTGTACAATTACCGGTAGCTATAGCTGCGATAAGTGATATTCAATGGCTTTTATCGTACCACCATGATTAAAGGATTTAAAGGTGGTCAAGGTATGTTCGCACTGTATGATTTGATGTCCTTGAGAAACTGCAAATTAATCTCACATAATCACAAATCGTTCAAACACTGCCCGCAGCTCCATCGCAATCGTAGTCAATGATCGATCATTTATATTTCTTTTATATTGCACATAATAGAAATTAAAATGACTTATGGCGCTGACACTTTTTATAGCAATAAATAGTCTCTGCGTTATGAGAAAAATTGTCCATTTTGTTTATTTTTAAAACAGAGAACTTCTCCGAATTTATGTACAACTCATTGAAGTGTCATTTTAACAGTTTTCCTTGGTTCTCAGTAATTTCGATGATTATCTTGATATCACACGAACCGCGTAAGCAGAACAGAGAAATAATGAAACTTAATGACTGGTTGGCAAGTGGAGCACCACCCAAAATTATCGGTCGTTTACGGAATATTGAAAACGCGGGGATCGAAGCGAGATCGATCCGTACTTTTGATGCACGCATCTTCTCGAGGTCAGATTAAGAAATCGAACTTCAGACCAGCACGTCTGGTCAGTAGCCGGCATCTGAGAAAGGAGAGATCGCAGGTGTTGCGCAACATTCCGAGGTAATTTATACCACTCATGGTTAACAAATACCACGTACCGTAGCTTTGTGTGAGCAGCGCGTTATTTTGCACTCTCTCCTTGGTATGCGAACTATAAATTGCCGAACAAACGTTGCGTTTGCGATGTTGACCCTTCCAATCGCGATGCTCATTGCCTTCGTGCGAAGATTTATTTACACTACGCGATCCTAAGACGATATCTCACAATGCACCATGCACGTATACAATCGGCCTCTGTTAGGTCTAATAATCGATCTAAATAAAATTGATAATTGAGCTTTTACAGAATTGCTTCAATTAAGTAGCAATCTTGCAGTTTCATTCAAGATAAATTATTTATCTTAAGTTAATTATTTAAGTAATATCCACGATACAATATATTTTGATGATACTATTTGTTGTTATCGTGCGTTGCGTGCCTTATACTTTCTTAACAAGAATTGCAAGGGGCGCAAATAAATTTTAATCCGTGTGTTGAGTTACGGGCCTCGTAGAATAGTCCGTTAAACCATTGCTCGCGAGAGATATGTGAGATAAAAACTGTAATCGTGGAGAAATTATTATCATCGCCAAGCAATATTCATCAATGCTACGTTGAACCAATTGGTGAGAAATTGTGAGAGGGAATGCGGATATTATGCTATGTATATTTGAACAGCGAATGTTTTTCGCTATAGGAAATAACAGGGATACGGAGAGATAGGAGATGGAAATGGAGAGATAGGTTGCTATTTATTTAATTGGCAACTTTCAGTACTCGGACGTAAATTAAGAGAAAACAGATCTACAAATTGATGGAGATCATTAAACGGAAATACAAAATACATGAATAAATGGATTGAGAACTATGTACGAGTGATATCAAGCGAAAGAAATACATATTTATACCATTGCAGAATTTTCTTCTAACTGAAGATGATAAACTGATGTTTAAAGAAGTATTAATGATATAATAACGTAAAATACATATATGTTTTGGCAGTATAAAGTGAAGATTGAAAGGAGTTATAATTATGAAAAACAGTCATGATCTTGAAATCTGAATTATTTCGTATTTATTAAAATGTTTACAACATAGTCCTTCAGGATAAATCATTCGCGATCGATTTTTGTCAACAACTCTTCTGTTGAGTAGTCCAAGGTCGCAGTGGCGGATTCAGAGATGTTATGGGAGGGAGGGGGGCGGTATGACGAAATGTGCACATTTAATTATTGTCGTTGATGTTATTTTTAACGATATTAATTGATTGAAACGTTTTTATCGAATACATAAGTCAAAAATATAAACGTATTAATCAAATTTGTAATAAATTGAGTGAATGAAATATTATTTAGTCTCGAATAATCACTGATAATTTTTGTTGTTAATTTATTTAAAATCGACTTTTTCTAATATACAAAATTGATTTGGAGAGCTCTGGGGGGGGGCCTCGATCGCCCCCTCCGCCTCTCCCTTGTATCCGACCTGCAAGGTCGTTGAATGTCGAGGGGAATTTCTTAATCAACAAAATTTTTGAAGATTCATTAAAATTAAGAGTAAGAGAACGAGATCGTTAAACCTTGGTCCTTTTAGTTTTATTACTTTTCTTTTTCGCAAGACGAGAGAGAGAGAGAGAGAGAGAGTGACTGGGGGGGAGGGGGGGCACAGGGGGAGAGAGCGAAGAGGGGGAAAGAGTGAAGGAGATAAAAAGAGGGAAAAAATATGTAATTATGAAATTATTTACCAGCACAGCGATAGATTAGGAAAGAACCGAACTACGTATAAGTATTTCTCTCACTTTTTCTGCCGTAAATACTTGATATTAGAATTTTCCACAACATTACACTTTAATGTACAGCGTAATGAAGCGTTATGTCGATGCTTTAGATGGCAATTTCCAAATTGCATCATTAGCGGCCTACATTTAATTCGGGAGTGAAAGCATGTTGACCGACTTATATGAAAAATTCCCAATGATGCTGGATCTCGTAAGAATTTATATAACAAACCGCTCGAGTTATCGCATAGGTCATACAATATTTCCAACAAAGAGATATCCGTTAATTTGTAAATTTTATAATATCATATGAATATTAAATAGCGCGTGTTTGCTAACGAATAAAATATGTAAATGTCAATCGGTCAATGTCAATTAACTAGTTTTACATAGTGACTTTTGCATTTACATAATAATTGTAAAGGTTTCGTCTAAGGTTAATAATAATAATAATGATACAGCAAACAAGACACGTGTCGAAACACCGACTATTAAAATTAAAAAAAATGTGGTTTAAGCAATACGTATTTCGCGATATCATGCCAACATTCAAAAACATTACATTAATAAACACTTAATTATTATGCAGAATATTCTAAGAAGCGTCCTAAGAGAAGAATAACAAAGTTCTTAAAAGAAATTATATATTCTTTTATATATCTGTTTACGGTCTTGGTCAAAAGTATTAGGCATCTATATTTTTTTTATTTGTCTGGAATTATTTTACCTGTATTGTATCCTATTATCGATATTATACATAAGTTTGAAGGGTTCTTGAAACAATGGATAATTCACAACACATGCCATAAATTAATTTTTGAGCTGAAACGTTAAATAATAATTAATAAAGTACTTGACATTTTGGACAAGGCTGTACATAAAATTTTTATATATATATAATATGTAAAGTGTAAATATAATTAAAAATAAATTATATGACAAAGGTATTATTAATCCTCCGATTAATAGACGAATATATTTGATATACATACATGTATTTATATTTTATATAAATCTACTTTATGCGATGGTCAAAGTTAATATATACAGATTAATCAAACCTTGATATTAAGATTTCTTGATTCTAATCTCAAACTATTGCCGTGTAAGAACTGAGAACCATGTTTCATAATATATTTTCCAAGTTATTTTCGCACTATTTTTCAGATTAAACATTTCGATTTTGTTCTGTTTTTATTAATATAATTTTCTCATATATGCACACATTAATATGATATAAAATTGAACTGTTAAAATTACACGCACAAAAATACTTTTTTTATTTTATATAATTGCCTTAAAGCAATTTTTATTTATAAAAAATTGTCATATTTACAGTATAAAAAAATAAATGATAGTATACCGAATAAGAATTGCACATTAATTTTTATTTTAGTAACTTTTCGGCAATGAAAACGACATAAATTTCCCTGAAAAGTACTATCACCAGTGGCAGGACATACGTATTAGGTTTTACTCGCACAATGTCGGCAATACTCGGCACTAATTTTCAATGTAGGTCAATGCTTGTACTATGAGAAATACTGGGTGCCTATAGTGTCGACATCCATAAAAAAAAATCGTTTGCGCAAACATGCATTGAGCGTGCGTATATTTAACATCGTGCGTTTTGACACCTGCACCGTTAACGCTACTATCACTTTTTTTTACAGGCAGGATAGCAGCGATCTGTCTAGGTCTTCTTGCACTTGTGATCGGCATAGTGCTCAGTAGCATACCGTGGGTCGATTACCTCATCTTGAAAGTAAGTATGAAACTTTTAGTATATACATTCGCGAAACGTTTGATATCCGATAAACATGTAATGCAGTCATCGCGACGTTTTAAACAATTTTGTACTTATTCTTTTATCGCTATCAAGATTTAAAAAAAACGTACTACGTGGATATGAAGTAATCCCTTATTTATGCTTTTAAGATATTTTACTCTTGCAACAAGTACATTTATCATCTTAAAAAGAGAAGTGAAGAAAGAGAAGAGACATGAATTAACTTAATATATTGAATTTCTAAAACATAACTTTGCTGTAATTGCTTATTAATTTAATCGTTTAATATATATAAATGTTATTTTGATGTATTTTGTTTTACTGTCGAAACCATTGAGATTATATTTAGATAAAGCAAGTATATTTAGACAAAGTAAGTCTCGCGCAATGAATATTCAATATTTTTGACAGCATGCATTTGCGAAGTACATTTGCATTCGCAGTAAATACCTTCGCGAACGTCTTTCATTGTCCAAAGCTAAATTACTCACGCACGTTATGTCGTCTGAAGATAATTTATGTCCGCAAGTGCAAGTGATTGCCGGTACAGCAATTATGAGTCTAATGTATTATTACAATTTTTGTTTGAATAGCACTATTTGCACTTGAACTTAATCCAAAAATTATTCATTGTATATATTTTATTTTTTAATATATTATAAAACTCACTAATTTATTTATATGTTATTATAAATTATTATAAATTATTATAATTAAGTAATTAGGTTACTAAGTAATTAGGTGATTATGTTATAAAGTATATAGAATTTGAAACCAACAGAAGTTAATATCAAACATAGACAAACACGATTTCCTTTAATATTATTTCATAAGCTCTAACACTTTAACACTCCGCGAGATTAGATTAATCTCCGGAAAAGTGATTAGATTAATTCGTGTCTTGTAGCTTAATTACTACGAGCTTTACAACATAAATAGAAATTTATTTCCGTTCTTAGACTTTCCCTTTTCCGCACATTTCCTTTTCATAGAGGAAAACCAGAGAATAAAATTTATTTGCAAGAAAATCTCGAAAGTGACTTCTCACATCAATTGAGCATGAAAACAGTAAAACGAACTCTCATTAACTCGCTTTAGGTCTTCTATTTTTAATTTCTCCGGAAATTATACGAATCGCATCGAGTGTGTGAGAAAGACACATTTGAAATGCAGGAAGCTATATATTCACGTAAGAATGCCAAGTGCTCCACAACACGATAAATAACATTCGATCGCTGCTAATAAACCAATTTTCCAAGATCATAAAAACTCCGATCACATTTTTCTTCGGGCTGATTAACGACTGTTTTGCATAAAAATACCGATGATAAATTACTCTAAACGCGAACGTGCACGTGTACAAATTGCAGTTTTAATGTGAGAGAGAAACCGCGTGATACCCGCTGGGGTAATAATATCGGCAATTCATCGCTGCTTTTTCAGCAACTGCGACTCTGGAACGGCTCGCTCTCCTTTCAATATTGGCAGAAGCCAGGCGTAATTCGATTGACCAAAGTCTATATATTTAACGTAACCAACCCGGAGGGTTTTCTGCAGTTAAACGAGAAGCCGAAACTCCAGGAAGTTGGCCCGTTTGTTTATCGGTAAGATCACACGTTTATTCAGTGCTGAGGCAATCGATGGGTACAGTCCTAAAAATCGCATTCAAATATAATTTTCTTCGAACAGTTAATGTATCTTTGTCGCGATCTTAGTCTCCTTAAAATAGCTCTCATTTACATTCCAAGGAATTCGCATTGAGAGTGCAAATCGCCGTCTGCACAATCCGGGTCATGTATTATGTTATAGACGTAACTTTTTGTTCGACAGCAATTACAATCAGTGAGACAACTAAATACGTACTTTTTTCCAGAGAGGATATGGAAAAAGTTAACATCGTATTTCACAATAACGGAACAGTTAGCTATCAGCATAAGAAAATTTTGAATTTTGTGCCTGAGATGTCGAAGGATGGAGATATGAAAGTGATAGTGCCGAATATACCTTTGCTGGTGGGTTTACGACGTTAGAGATAAAATTGTGAAACGTATTTTTTTTATCAATCGATGTAATTAATAAAATAGTGTCAAGGATTTGAAGGTATGAGTAAACGAACTCTTCTTTTCTTTATAGACACTTTCGACACAAAGCAAAAGTCTCCCTCGTATAATCACTGCGGGATTGTCGATTTTCCTGAGCGGAATGCACATGAAACCCTTTATTCCTATAACCGCTCAGGAATTGGTCTTCGGATACGACGATCCGTTGGTCAGCCTCGGACACAAGTTTCTTCCCAAGACGAGACGGCCCATGAGCAGAATGGGCCTCCTTATTGGAGTGAGTGTTACGCAACGAGCATTCTCATATATTCACTTTCTTGCAAAATATATACACCTAATTGTATCGTGAAATATGTGTGCCGAATACTTTAGTCCGGTAATGTATAATCGAACCCCGATTGTAGAGAAACGGTACATTAAGCGAGATATCTACGATATTCACCGGACACACGGACATGAAAGAGTTCGGTTTGATAAATCGATTGAACGGGCTCGATCATTTGCCATACTGGCCGAACGCACCGTGCAATTCCATTGCGGCTTCGGAAGGTATACACTTTTTCTTACTTTTACATACCTACGACACATAAAACAGCATGCTAAAATTGTATTTACACCGAGTTTTCATCGCGATAAAAGTAAAATTGACTTGGCACGTTGTTACGAGAGAACTTGGAATGCGATGCTCTCTTTGCAGGATCTTTCTTTCCGCCGCGAGATCGAACTGGCGCGGACATCATTCACGTCTGGGACAAGGATCTCTGCAGGACGATGCCGTTGCAGTATCGCGGGCCGGTAGAGAAGGCCGGTATCAAGGCGGATTTATACACTCCGCCGGATGAACTTTTCGGTCGAGTGAATAAGTCAGCTACGGATGAAGACTGCTTTTGCTCGGACGGCATTGACACTTGCCCTCCACATGGCTTGCAGGATATTAGTCCATGCCAATACAGTAAGTGTTTCATATTTTAGAAAATTAGCAGAATTCTTGGATCCGCTCCAATCAGCTTCAAATTTTTAAAAATTCAAAACTTTATTAAAAGAATCTATACTTTATTTTTTGTAGGTGCACCAGTATATATCTCATTTCCACATTTTTATAAGGCCGATCCTAAATTGTTAGACGCCTTTGATGGACTCAACCCAGTCGAAAAACTGCATGAATCATTTTTCAAAATTCAGCCAGTGAGTAAAATGCATAGAGAAAATATAATTTTATAAATTCTATATACCAAGCTCTTTGGTGTGTGTGTGTGTGTGCGTGTGTGTAATATTACATATAAAAAATTATTAATAATAATAAATCAATTTGTTTTTTAAAATTATCTAAGATTGGCATTAATAAAATGGAATAGAAGATTAATAAAAATTAAACGGATAGAAATAAATAAATAGGAATGCATAGAAATAAATGAATTACTAAATAGATTGTAATTAAATAAATAGGATATAAATATTAATAGGAAAATACCATTTCTAAGTTTTGATAATTAAGATTCTATTTTTTTCTTGTTTTCTTAGAAATTAGGAGTGCCGATTGAAGCGAAGGTTCGCCTCCAGTTGAATCTGAAGGTAGAACGACAGTCCAATATTGCGGTGGTCGCTGATTTTCCCGATATAATGTTCCCGATTATGTGGATCGAGGAGGGCATAGAGGAGCTCACGCCGTCCATTAGACGATTCATTTACTTGTCGACCACATTCGCCGACATCGCCGGGCCTTGCTTTACGTATGGCATGATTCTAGTCGGACTGACGATCATCATCACGGTGTTCGTGAAGGCGTATAATACCCCGGTATTGACGCACGAGGCGATCGAGCTCGGCAAGAGGACCATCAGGAGAGGCTCGTCTTTCTTAATAAATGGCCAACATCGATTGATCGGTCGGGACTCTTACGTCTTACTAAAAGACAACGATATGGACGAGAAGCAGGATATTATAGAGATGTGATGGACATTTCTGCGTGAATTCTAGAATATTATAGAAACGATGATACTAAGCGTCTTTTGTAGAGTGAACAATAATATATAATTAATGACGCCTAGTCTCGATTTCTCGTGAAGAGAAATCGTAAATCAATCTTGGTATTAACAAGAAGTTTATCGAGAAGAGTAAAAGAGTTTATTTTTTAGTGAGCCCTCGAGGATCGGAACCTGATGATTAGCCTAAGAGAATTTTTAGGTTTGCACAAACAGAACTCAAAAATCTCAGGTACTAAGGCGATTATGATCTGAGCTATTTAGGATTTAAAACGCATGTAGGTAAAGTTCAAGGCACTTAAGATCCAGGAAATATATATTCTAGTAGTTTAGAATGTAATTAGACTGGATTTTTAATTAGCGCGTAATTTAAGGGTTATTTAGTGGGATATAGGACTTACGAGAAGGATCGAAGACTTGCACGAAAAATACAAGAACTTTTTACCAAGACTTTATATATTAATAAAGTATATTAATAATTCTTATACAACTCTCCTTATGCATTCTTTTTTATGTAACTCTCTGAAAGGTTACGAGTTTTTTATTTACATAATTTAGGGATTATTCAGTTTTACAATTTTACTAAATAAAAACAAAAATTACGTCCAATCAATATTTCTACACTAATTAAAATTTATATAGAAAACTTCGACATTAATTATTTTAAACTGTTTGGAGCTACGTCACTCAAATTGGATCTATAATCACTACAAATATTTACAATTTTAATTGTAAATATTTGTAAATATTTAATTGTATTAAAAAATTACAAGAATCAATATATGTATATATACGATAAATTTTTCATTGGATGACTGATTTATCTCGTTCAAAAGTCGGATTAAGAACTAAAGTTAGGCGTCATTAATTGGATTAATAATACGTTGTTGGAAATATGTTGTATAAGCACCAGTGCAGTATGATACGGCATGGTGTAATGTAAAATGCGTTTTGTTTGACTGCGTACACCAAAGTTTCACTTTTGATCAAGGGGACTAGTTAACCAATTACGAAATATGTGCAGCCGAAATTGGTTTGTATTTCATTTCACGTAAAAAAATTTCTTTATTTTGCACGGATTTATTCAGTTGAAATTCACGAAAAGTTTTTTTGTTGTGGAATGCAAATTCGTTAAAGAATATATGTATATATATATAATTATATATATATCCAAGATCTTTCACAAAATGTGTGAAAGTAACATACAATCATTTATAATACTATATAGCTTATATAATGAAGTGTACAATACAATAGCATTCTCCATTATTAATTATGGAAGAAAAGGCAATACTTTTGGGATTTGATGGGCGCTTATGGGATGCACATAAATCAGGAATTAACCATGATAACTTTCAGTATCGCAAGAGAGATCCCTGCAAGATCATGTTAAATATGTTATTGTGTCTGTGATTCCGTCGTTATTTATATACATATATAATATGCAATATGCACTTGAAGATAGAGAGCAACGAGGGGAGAAGCTTCATATTGGCAATGTGAATGGACAAGACTTTCGCGCTCGTAGCACAAATCGCGGCACGATTGGGAGCGCAGGACGGATGCTTCTTTCTAAGACGTGTCCCACTCGTACTCGGCCATAAAATCTAGTGCAATATTAGTGATCGTATATTAAGTATATCGCCGGCAACACGTATGATGAAACAACGTCGATTAGAAGTAAGGTCAGTTGCACCGACAACTTTAGCGCTACATGTATCTGTGTGTGTGTGTGTGTGTGTGTGTGTGTGTGTGTGTGTGTGTGTGTGT